CTGGCTCCCTGCTTTCTGTGTGCACCATGAATCTGCCTGGTTCTTCACTCTTGCTCCCCCCTCAGACTTTCACTGACTCCTAGACAGAATGAGACCCTTGGAGGCCACATCATTTCTCACCTAGAAATTCCTTGTTCCCAGGGGGACTTCGCCCAGGCTGCTCAGCAGCTGTGGCTGGCCTTGCAGGCGCTAGGCAGGCCCCTGCCCACCTCCCACCTGGACCTGGCCTGCAGCCTGCTCTGGAACCTCATTCGCCACCTGCTGCAGCGACTCTGGGTGGGCCGCTGGCTGGCCGGCCATGCTGGGGGCCTGAGAAGGGACTGTACCCTGAGGGCGGACGCACGCACCAGCGCCCGAGATGCGGCCCTCGTCTACCATAAGCTGCACCAGCTGCACACCATGGGTATGACTGGGCGTGGAGCTGGGCAGAGGGGCGCCACCGTGCTGCCTCACGTGGCCTCCTGGCCTCATGCCCCACCTGCTTTCCAGGGAAGTACACGGGTGGGCACCTGGCTGCCACCAACCTGGCACTGAGTGCTCTGAACCTGGCAGAGTGTGCGGGGGATGCCGTGTCCATGGCAACGCTGGCGGAGATCTATGTGGCAGCTGCCCTGAGGGTCAAGACCAGTCTGCCAAGGGCCCTGCACTTTCTGACAGTGAGTGGGTGGTGAGCTGGTGGGGACGGGGCTGGGGGCTTGTCTTTGCAGCTCTTTCCCGTGGTTCCTGGGCATGGGGCTGCACAGAAGGTGGCAGCTGGTTACGAGGTGGGCTCTAGGCCCAGCTAGGGTCTCAACAGGGGTCTGGGTTTGAGTCCCTGCCTGGCGCCAGTGTGACAGCCCAGCTCCCCTCCCCCACAGCGCTTCTTCCTGAGTAGCGCCCGCCAGGCCTGCCTGGCACAGAGTGGCTCAGTGCCTCTTGCCATGCAGTGGCTCTGCCACCCCGTGGGCCACCGTTTCTTCGTGGATGGGGACTGGGYCGTGCGCAGTGCCCCGCGGGAAAGCCTGTACAGCTTGGCCGGGAACCCAGGTGCTCTCTCACCCCTGCCCCTGTCCCTCAYCCTGTGCCTTGTCCCCCATTCCTGTCCCTCATTATCCCCTGCATCTCTGGATGTCCTCCCCCCAGATTACCCCCCCGTGTGGGTCGTAACTGCAGGGCTGTGGGGACTCAAGGCCTGGCTGGTCCTCTGTTCCAGTTGAGGCTCTTCAGAAGCAACATATRGGCCAGAGGGATGACAGTTGATTTGAGAGGCGACCCCAGGCCACCTCGGGCCGCCTCACTGTGGAGTGAGGAAGTGAGACAGGGAAGGGGTGGCGCCTTTGAAGCCAGTGTGCAGGGGCTGGGCCGTTTTCCACCTGCCTATGGCAAGGGCTGCTCCTAGGACCAAAGCTGGCACTTGCAATGAGAACGGGGTGGTCCCCGCCCATTCAGGAAGAAGGCCTTGGTGGATGTTAAGTGGGGGGTGGGCTCCTCCTCACTCACCCCCTCTTACCCACAGTGGACCCCCTGGCCCAGGTGACACAGCTGTTCCGTGAACATCTCCTGGAGCGTGCACTGAACTCTGTGGCTCAGCCCAGCCCCAACCCCAGCCCCGGGTCAGCTGATGGGGACAGGTAAGTGTTCCTGTGCCTCCAGATACTACCAACATGTAGTCCGGGAACAACCCTGTCTAGGGATCTGTGTGGATTACCAGAGCTGGGACTGTTGTCCACTTGCTGGGTGGCCCCCGAGCCTGTGTTGGTCTCGTTTTCCCCACCAGCCAGGCAGAATGTGGCCCTTGGCAGAGCCATGGGGTCAGGCTGTCCCCAGGTAGGCATGTAGGACCAGCTCTCCCACAGGACTCCCAGGACCCCTGCCATCTGTTCTAACAGCCAGTCCTCTCCTGCCACAGGGAATTCTCAGATGCCCTAGGATACCTGCAGCTGCTGACCAGTTGTTCTGATGCTGCTGGGGCTCCTGCAGGCAGCTTCTCCATCAGCTCTAGCATGGCCGCCACCACCGGTGAGCCTGAGACCCCTGCCCCAGGCTTGCTGCTTAGCCCAGACACTGGCTGAAGGTTCAGGGCACCCCTCCATCCTCTGCAGGCACAGACCCCGTGGCCAAGTGGTGGGGCTCACTGACGGCGGTGGTGATTCACTGGCTGCGGCGGGATGAGGAGGCAGCTGAGCGGCTCTACCCCTTGGTGGAGCACCTGCCCCGTGCCCTGCAGGAGACCGAGTATGTGCGAGGCCAGATTCTCCCTGCCCTGCCCCCGCTCCCCCCCTCCCGGCCCCTCAGCACTGTACTTGCACCCGCCTTTGCTCTGTGTGGTCAGGGTCACCGTGCTTTGTTTCCCCTAAGTCCAGAATCAGGGCAGATGGGTGGGCATTCGCTGACTGGCACTCTTCTGCTCTGGCCCCCACAGGAAACCCCTGCCCAAGGCGGCCCTGCACTCCTTCAAGGCTGCCCGGGCTGTGTTGGGTCGTGGAAAGGCAGAGTCTGGCCCAGCCAGCCTGGCCATCTGTGAGAAAGCCAGCGGGTACCTGAGGGACAGCCTGGCCACCACACCAACTGGCAGCTCCATTGACAAGGTGAGGGGTAGGCTGGGGGCCTGCCGGTCTGGGTCACTGCCTTCTCCTCTCTAGTCATTTGGGGTTCGCCCAAGGAGCTCAGGACTGGGGGCCTTGGAGACTTTGCTTTGGGCTACAGTTTAAGTCCAGGGAAGAATGACTCTCCCTGTCTGGGCTGAATCCTCATGCCCAGGAGGGGTGTGGGCTCCCTGGAGGGCTGCTCCTGGGGTGGGTGGTGACCTGGGGGCCTGGAGAGGTGGGCGGGGCGTGCATTGCTGCTGCATTGCGCKTGTGTGGCGGGTGCAGTGCCTCAGCAGTGCAGCCCTGAGCCGGCAGCCTCCCTCCCAGAACTGGAGCCGCCTCACGACCCTGCCTGCCCTACCTGCCACCCCCAGGCCATGCAGCTGCTCCTGTGTGACCTGCTCCTCGTGGTCCGCACTAGCCTGTGGAGGCAGCAGCAGCCCCCAACTTCAGCACAGGTGGCTCAGGGTGCCAGCAGCGGCCCCCAGGCCTCTGCCCTCGAGCTACGTGGCTTCCAACGGGACCTGAGCGGCCTGAGGTGTCTGGCACAGAGCTTCCGTCCTGCCATGAGGAGGGTGAGTCCTGTGGGCCCCCCACCTCACAGTGAGGACCTGAAGCAACAGTTGCCAGGAGGGAGAGAGCAGGGACCCGGCCGAACTTCAACTCTGCTGCCCCTCCCAGGTGTTCTTACACGAGGCCACAGCCCGGCTGATGGCAGGGGCCAGCCCGACCCGGACACATCAACTCTTGGACCGCAGTCTGAGGCGGCGGGCAGGTCCTGGTGGCAAAGGTGAGGGTGGCTGACCTTACAGAGATGTGGGGGCCCTGGCCCGGCATGCAGCCCTCTCCACTACCCCTTCCCTCGCCCAGGTGGGAGGGGCTCAGATGGGGTGTGCCGGACACTGGGGATGACTGCACGTGGGCGGGCGTGAGAGTGTGTGTGTGTGGGGGGGGGGCGTGAGCTAGGAACTGAAATCCACTGGAGGTGACACCATTTGCGGTATACAATGCATTTGTGACTTTGAGTCTGTGTTCTACTGGGAAAGTCGTCAGGGGCTCCATATCTGAGCCTCTGACGGTGGGCACAGGAGAACCCGCGTGACTTGGGGCTGGTCCTCGACCGCCCCGCCCACAGGGTGGAACGGTAAGATAGCCCCGCCCCTGATGCAGCCCTGTGTGCGCAGGCGCGGCGGGGGAGCTGGAGCCGCGGCCCACGCGGCGGGAGCACGCAGAAGCTCTGCTACTGGCCTCCTGCTACCTGCCGCCCGGCTTTCTGTCGGCGCCGGGGCAGCGCGTGGGCATGCTGACCGAGGCGGCTCGCACGCTGGAGAAGCTGGGCGATCACCGGCTTCTGCACGACTGCCAGCAGATGCTCATGCGCCTGGGTGGTGGGACTACAGTTACCTCCAGCTAGACCTCCGGCGTCGTCCAGTCTCCGTGTCCCGGTCTCCACGGCTCACCCGCGGCTGCTCCGTCCCTGAGGGGTGGGAGGCGGGAGGCGCAACCCACCACCCCAGCCCGCTCCTCAACTTGACAAGCGGCCGTCAGGATGGTGCTGACCTCTGGTGGCCGATCGGGGAACTACAGGAGCCGAATCGGCCTTGTTCCCCCCACCGCCCTTGCTCTGCAGGCACCTTAGTGGCTTTTTCCTCGCTTTTCTAGGGGGAGGAGGGGTACCTTTCTTTGAGCTGAGGGGGGCCCTTCCCCAAGGTACCTCTTTCCCTTCTGGGGGAGACTTGTACATAGTGTAGATGGGTGGGCCCCCGTGGGCCAGCCTCCTTGCCTCGGAGGCTCATGTGCTACTTTTGCAAACTTTATTTTCGTAGGTTGAGAAGTTTTGTACAGAGAATAAAAAATGACATTATTTATAACCTTGGTTTTGTTCCTTTGGGGATGAATATGTGTGCTGGACATGCTGACCACACACCTTAGGGCCTTTTTCTTCAGCACCAATGCCAAGGCCTCCCATCCTCCACCCCCCATAGGACAGACCTTATGACCCCTAGCTGACCTACCCCACTCATCTCGGGCCAAATGTTCATCTGTATTCGGTTAGGGCCTTGATGGTTTCAAGTTGTCCCTGAAATTCCTGGCCCCAACTAGGTCTGGGGTGACTTGGAAAGACAGTGTCCTCCAGGGCCTGTTTGACAGGAGCTGTAACTTGGGCCTCCTAAGTTACAGCTGGCAGGGACTGGCCCAAGCCTTCTGGAGTGTCTCAGCTCGCTCACCACCTCCTGCCTGTCCTCGGAGAAACCCTGGATCAGTTAGAATCTGAGGTCACATAGGCAGGTGAGACCATCTGAGGGTGTCTCCTGTTCTCCAGAAATGGGCTGGATCCCTGATCACCCCCCACCTAAAGTCTGGTCCCCAATCCCAGCAGAATCTGGTCAGAATCCATGGGCTGCAGACTTCCAAAACAATCTTGTATCTTTATTGACTTTTTTTTTTTCTGAATGCAATGACTGTTTTTTTACTCTTAAGGAAAATAAACATCTTTTAGAAACAGCTCGATACACACAATCTTCAGTGTGAAGCAATATACTAATAAGAACACTAGTCGTCTTAACATTTACAGTCTTCATATATATTATATATATGTATATGTATACATATATATACACTATATAACGAGGCCAGATATAATACACACGTTTACCATTTTACAGTCATATGTACAGGAAGTTGCTAGGGCGGCCCCTAGCTGGGGCTGCGTCAGGCCTATTGAAGCGTGGACAGAGCTGAGGTGAGGACACGGACAGACAGGCGGACGGACTGGCAGGGACTGGCCCAAGCCGGTGGTGGCTGCGTGGGGAAGGGGCATCGCGGTAGACTCCCCTACTCGGCAAGGGCCCGGCTGGGGCTCTGCTGCAGGGCGCACGACGCACGGCGGCGACACACAGGAGAAGCGAGCATGTTCCCAACATATATACATTCTATGTAACATATATATAGAGGGGTACACAGGTTTTGTACACGAATCTAGCGCTGTCCCTGCTCCCGTACTGAGTGGGCGCTGTGGTCCCTGAAGACGGTGGTGGTGCACAGGGACAATCGCGCATCCGCCGGAGGTACGCTCATGCTCGGATCGGATCTCCTTTCTTGCTGCGTTCCTAGGCTGGGCTCCAAGGGTGGGGTGGAGGATTGGAAAGGGGACGAACAGAAGACGCCCCAGTCCCGCCCACACCCGGGGAGCCCACATCCCCTGAGCATAGGCCCCCGATTACCCCGGCTTGGCCGGAACCGCAGGGAAGCTTTGGCAAAGGGTGGGTGGGAAGGGGCGCTGGGACGCATTCCGACTGGTGGGTTTCGAAGACTCTTGCCCCYTCCCCCGCTGACCGGGCCCCCTCCAGAAAGGCTCCGGTTTCCCCTGCCTCGTCCATGGAGCTAAGAGCAGCCCTCGGCCCCTGGCAGGGTCGTCTGGATCTCCTCTCCCGACCCCAGGGCGCCCAGCTGCAGGCCACGACCGACCGACTGCGGTGACGGCAGCACCCACGAGGAATGTGTGCCACGTCGTCTTGGAACTTCCGGGAGGGGGAAGTGTCCCCAGCCCCAAGCCGTCTCCCACCCCCGCCAGAGGCTGGGTGGGCCGAGAAGTCTGGCCGCTCCGCGGGCTCCCTCTCCAAGCCTGGCCCCAGGGGTGTGGGCAAAAAAAAAAGAAAACCGCCCTGTGCCGTCCGGTTCCGGGAGCAGGCGGCTCCGGAACAGGTTTTCTTCCCAACCCGGGGCCGCACGTCGGCGCCCTGGGCGGCCGGATCCAAGATCCGGGACGCGGATCAAGGATCGGCTCTGGACGCGCGCTGGGAGCAGCTCCAAGGCCCCAGGGCTGCGCAGGCTGCTTCTCTCCTTCGGAGGCGGGCGTCGGGCGGCTCCGGCGGCTTCTCCAGCCGTTGCGGTGGATTACAACGGCAGCCTCTGCAAAAGAAAAGCAGACGCCCGCCGTCCATTACTGTGGGCCGGGGAGAGGAGGAAGGGGCCKATTCCTTCCAAGCCGCAGGCCCCGCCGTCCGTGGGACCCCGCCCGCGCGCCGGGTGGGCGCCCCTAAGGTCTCTTTCGGTGTCAAGCAGCGGGAGTCCCCCCTCTGGCTTTGCCTTTCGTCTGACCACCTTCACCTGAGTGCCCTCTGTCCAGTCCCGTGGCCCTACCGGCCCTCTCTTTGCCCCCTATCTTGAAAGGGCTTTAGGGCACGTCCCCTAGGAATGTCCCTGGCGGGCCCCTCCCTGGGGACCTGCCTGGTGGACAAAGCGTGCTTTCCGAGTAGCCTATGCAGATCTGCCTCAAGGCTCCCAGGGGTCGCTGGCGACAGGTGAGGGGAAGCTGAACTGGGTCCTGGCTGGACTTGGTGGGGGCTAGGTCTCCTGAGGGTCTGCAGGTCAGGGCAGGGGCTGGTAAAGGCCATCATCGGTGGAGTGGGGGCTCCTTGTGGTCACCTACCTTATGTTTGGGACATTTCAAAGAAAAGTTCTCTTCGATGAATACACAACCTGTAACCAAAGAGAAGTTTCGGTGGTTAGACAGGGTGGGGTCTGCCAGGCCCCAGCTTGCAAGAGCTCTTTTCAAAGAGTGACCTAAGTCCTGCTTAAACCCTCCATAATCACAGTTCCACCACAGAACAGGCTGGGGGGGCCCCTCTGCTCCTTCCTGCTTTGTTCTTTGTCCTCACCTTACCTCCTCCACCTGGAACTCTTTCCCCCCATCCTGTTTCCGAGTGGCTGGCTCCTTGACTAAAGAGAACCTGCCCTCCACAATCCCCTGAGATGTGTGCCCAGCCCCTAGAAGAGCCCAGGAAAGACTCAATCACTGATGGCTTCGGTGGTCACCTACAGCATGTCTGTCGGGACTGGTGAAGAGAGCATGTATCAATACCCCCCCCCCCACACACACACACACGGCACACAGTAGGTGCTCAAAATGCAGGGGCTTGTTCCTGTGGGAACAAGGGAAGATGCACATAGGTGCACATAGGATCCTGGTGAACACTCCAGCCACAGACGAGCCAGGGGACAGCAGAGTTTGGCCAGTCCTTATGCCCAGCTCTGCCAGACTGTGCCCRTATCTCCACGAGTCCTCCGCTCCCTGCCTGCTGCCACCTACGGACACCCTGGCTTTTCCCTGAGCACCCCCACCCATCACCCCCAAGTCCTGAGCTCATCTCTCCTCTCTCAGCCTCACTGGCCAGAGGGTCAACCTGCCCTAGCACCATCTTCCAGTTCACACTGGAGGGTGGCATCATCACAGGGTGGGGACCAGGAGGCAGGGCAGGAAGGGGACAGATCTGCAGCTCCAAAGCAGAACTGTAGGCCTTCCAAAGGCGAGACCCTTCCTTTCCCTGACCAACCCCTGCCAGAAGCTACGAGGGCCCCCCCCACCTTTGAACCCCTGTGAGATTCCATGGTCCAGAGCCACAGCTGGGGCGACTCAGCAACTTTCCTTTTCTGGTTCTGGGACAAAGTGAGACATTCCATAGAGCGTGGGCTAGAAGTCCAGGCTCGCCTGCTGACCACGTGGTAGCCCTCTGGGTCAGCTCTGGGCACGTGGGCCAAGTGCCTGGGTCACCAGAAGCCAAGGGTAGGAGGCCACTTCTAAATCGGGGTTCTCAGCGACCCCAGCATCTCCCATGCCAGGTGTGGGAGGGGACTGGTTGGGAAGGGCCAGGTATCGACATCGTGTCCCTCGCCTGGTGTCTTGGATCTGGAAGACCAGGTGGCCCTGGGGCTGACTGAGAGTTGGTGGGTTTGGACCGGACACCATGGTGCAGTGGCCTCTGCCTGCTCTTGGAGTCAATGCGGGTCTCCAGAGAGAGGATCCTTAATAAGGATGGGAAGGGGGGCAGGGTTAGTGGGCCAGGGCAGGAAGGCGGGGTGGCAGCTAGCACCCTGCAGCCTGAGAGCCTGACTGGAGAGCCCCTGCTGACCCCCCGGGGTGGATTGCTCTTCTCAACCTGCTGCTGCCTGGTCACCACCGACAGCCCTCCCTGCTTCTTGGAGTTCAGTCCTCCCACACCCTCCTCTGCCAGGTCTTCATAGGTGGCATCTCCCCACACACTGTCCCCTAACCTGCCGGTGGAGTCTCCATCCTGAGCCCAGCTGAGATAGCTCCCTTTGCAAGTCTACAGACAGCTCAAAAGTGACCTGTCCAAACACAGAACTGCTCTGTATGGCTGCCAACACGGCCCTGATCCCCTGCTCTGTACCCAGGTCCTTTGCAGCCCGTGCCATGGAGATGTGGCATGCCTGTCCCCACCCTCAGAATCTGGGTGGCACCTAGATTGCTTTGGCCAACAGAATACACTGAAGCCCAGAGCCCAGGCTGGGAGAGGCCGTGTGACCTCCAATCTTCCAGGCCCCTGCTGTGCTGGAGGACAAGACCACGTGCATCATGTGGAGCATAAAGGGGCTAGGCCAGCTGCTGGGGCCTCCCTGGAGCATCCTGCCAGGGTGAGGACCTACGTAGCAGTCATTGATACCTTCTCTCTCATGCTCATCCTGCTCAGACTGGTTCTCCCTCCCCATGGGGAAGCTGGACATCAGGCCGACACCTCCCTCTCCCTCATCTCTCCCATCAAGTCCTGTGGCTTCTGTGCCAACATAGCCTCTGAGCTAGACGGCTCTACTGTACCAGGCTACCCTCTCCTGCTTGGACTGTTGCAGTAGTTCATCAGCCAGCCCCGATCATCCTTTTTTTTCCCCAGACGCTTCCCCGTCTCATTCTCTGTAGAGATTCCTGTCATTTGGGGGTTTCTAAGATCTCCTTTGAAACACATGTTCTCTTGCTCAAAGCCTGGTATATGGAGTCCTCCGGCTAACCAGCGACAGCCCACCTTTCCTGATGTTTTGAGGCCTGGCTCAAATATCACTTCCTCCTAGAAGTCTTCCTGGATTCCCTCCTAGCTCAGACAGGAAGAGCCTCTCCCACGTCCACTCTCTCTTCCTCATCTGCTCTCCACAACTGCTGGTAAAAACTATGGCTCTCCTCTCTGTCCTGTTTCAAGGTGAGCCCCCTGGGGAGGCTGGACAGTTCTGGGTAGGAGAAAGAGCACAGGATGTGGAGTGGGAAAGCCGGGCCATCATCCCACAGGGCGTTTGACAGTGTCATGGTGTGGTGCCAGGAGTTAGACAGCTCATCTGGAGACGGTGCAGGGGCCTGAGGGGCAGAGGGTGCTCAGCAGATCTCTGCAGGGGGACCGGGCTCAGGGGAGCTGTTAGGGGAGCGAGGCCAGGTGCCTGGTTAAGTGGCTGGGAGGCTCCGGGGGAGAGGGTAGAGCCACAGTCCCCACCTGCTGGGTACCAGCCGCTCAGCCCCCTGCTGAGCTCTAGCAAGTCCCCTCCTGCTGGGTACCAGCCACTCAGCCCCCTGCTGAAAAACTGTCACCAAAGTCCTGTGGGTGCTCCCTGGGGTGGGCTGGCTCTAGGGCTGACACTGGTCAGGGACCCAGCAGGMAGGTGGGATACAGGCTGCGGTCACCTCTGCCTGCTGCCAGGAGGAGGGGCACTGTGAGGATCTGCCGGGTGACACGAGCCCCCCTTACGATATTGCTGTCCCCCGTGACGGGCATTACACAGTGAACAACTGCTTTCTCTGGATGAAATAAGGGATCTTCCTGAGCCTCAGTTTCCCCATGTGGTGGACGAGGTCTGGAGTTCCCCGGTCTCTCTGGTCTATTCCTATGCGCCTGGCAACTGTAGGTGCTTAATGAATGCCCATGGGACAAATGGATAAAAGTAGGGAATTGGGGTAGAGGCCGCAGAGGAGGCTAGGCCTGTTTCAAAACCCCAGTGTCTTCCCGGTGGCCAACCAAAGGTCACCTGGCCTCAGTGTGTTGGAACCCTGTCCTCAGCGCATCCGTCTTCCTTGTGGCAGGATGATCTTTCCCCAGCCCCAGTGCATCTTTCTCTCCGAGATCCCCACATCCCCTTGCAAAGGCGGCTCCTCAGATAGCCCTCCTGACTCTAATCCATGCCTGTCTCTCCTCGCAGCTCCGGGCAGGCCTCCATTGGTGCCTTGCCCAGCCGTGGTCTGTATCTCCTGGTCTAGGAAGGACGAGGAGGTAAAGAATTGCCGGGGCAAGAGAGGAGGGGACCCAAGGGGTGCAAAGAGCCCAGGATGGAGGCCCTGTCCCCACGGTGGGCTCTTACCCGCATCGCTGGCACACGGGTAATGGTACGAGTGGACACATCCTTTGTAGGAGCACCCGATGGTGGCCCCGGCTTCTTGGCAGCTGGAACATGTCTAGAGAGAGAGAGAGAGAGAAGCAGTGAGTCCCATGCTCCCAGGGGGCCGGCCCCACGCAGCCCACCCACTTCCTCCAAAACCACCCTGGACCTCAGCATGGAGGAGGAGGCTCGGGTTCGGGGTGCAGATGCCCACACAGGCTGGTTCTCTGGCACCCCTGGGCTGGCTGGCTGGGCGGGGGGCGGGGACTTTCTTCGGCCTGTGAACTAGTCACCACTATGGCCGTGGGCACCAGCCAGCATTTGCCAGATGCTTCCTGCAAGGCTGGGCAGAGAGGGTCTTTGGCTGCTGGCTCCTAACAGCCCTTGAGGTGGGTGGCGCTTATTAACTATCTAGGTGGTGACACCAAAGTGTCCCTGGCACAGGCAAAAGCAAAAGCAATGAGCATTGCTGTCCACGCTCTCTGGTGGCAGCAGGAGTACCAGTGGCAGACCTGGAGACAGCATGCCACCTTGAGATGCTGACTTCATGTACGCCTGGTGCCACCCAGCATGCGCCCGGTCCCTTAGTTCTCAGAAGTGTCTTCTGCTGAGCTTAGGCGGTTGCCCTGCTGGGTGCAGCTGTCCTGTGGCCAGGAGAGGATGGTAACCCCCAAGAAAGACCCCGGAGGAATCAAGCCAAACCCYGAGGCCTGGGGAGGAAAGTGACGGGTCCAAAGTCACCCCCATTCCTGAATCAGCCATCGTCGTCCACGGGGGTGGAGGGTGGGGGATTGAGGCGCAGAAAGAAAGCCGAGAGCACCGTGGGCCCCTCCCAGAGGCCSCGCCTGCTTCCCAGCAGGCCTGGCTGGAAGCCCRGTCCAGCTTCTCCAGGTCCCCCGGGCAACCCGCCTGCCAGCACACGCTTCTGACTGAGCCCTGAGCCCCGTAGCCCGGTTGGGACACAGGCTCAGTCACCACCCCAAGACCACCCCCCCCAGCCTCTTTCCCGACTCATCGGGATGGCTTCCTGTGGAACTGGGGCCCAGCAAGAGTGGGGACCCCAGGCCAGATGGAGACTGTCATCCTCAGTGACCCCTGGGCCACYGTGGGGTTCCTTGGGCTGATGGCTTCTCTCCACTGTGGTTCCCAGCAACCCTTGAGGCGGCCATTGGACCGGCCACTTTAGACAAGAAGAAACATGTCCAGGATGCTGAGGCCTCAGGTGCTTCTGACCCCAGCCACCCGCTGGGGCCTAAGTGGACGCGCCCGGCCAGGCCACGTGGGCTCAGCCCTGGGACCCCCTCTCTACCCTGGCAGGGCAGGGCCAGGCCTCATCTGGGTAGGGGATGGGGTCCATGGTGGTGGGGGAGGAGTCATAGCTCCACAGCTCTCTTCTCCAGGGAGCCCAGGGGACGTCCATGGACGGGCAGGTGTGACAGGTGGGCCGGGGACTCGGCAGTTTTCTGGGATCGGCAGACCCTCACCATCCAGCTAAGGGGGGTCCAGCACTCTGGGGCTCCGAGGGCAGATGGCTTCCTGCAGTTAGGAGCTGGCCCTGGGCAGAGCTGTAATCTGCATCGGGACCAGTTTGATGCCCGTGGGACGTGGTGGGAAGGAACGTGGGCTGTGGTGACCCTGCTCATTTTTCTGGGGAGGGTAGTTGCCTGGGGACCACGCTGCATGGACATGGGCTGTGATGAGCCCCCTGAGGCTCTGCTGGCTGGACAGAGAGACACCTTGAGTGACCAGCAAACACCTCTGGTGTGTGTGATTCTCGTTCTGGCCTCCAGGGCTGTGGCTGCCAGGCTGGCCCTGGAACACAGGTGGGGGGACATGAGGATGGAGTGGGGGGACTAGACCAGCCCAGCTGTGTGACAGCGGGGGAACCTGACCCATGTTTGACACAGGTGTCCCCCTCTTGTGTGCAGGTCAGTGAGCTGAGCCTCCAAAGGCACCAAAGGGAAGGGCCTGGGACAGGCGAGGGGCTTCACCCATTGTCTCAGGGACCCCTCCTCACCCAGGCCAGCCAGGGACACAGAGATAACCAGAACCCAGGCCTGGGCCTCAGAAAGGCCTTGGACGTGAGCCTGGGGGCCGCGCGGGGACACCAGTGCTCCGGAGGTCAGTGTGGCTGGGGTGGCCGGCAGGGCAGGGTGGCCGTCAGCTGGGGGTGGCCGTCCCGGGGCAGGGCTGTTGTTTTTTATTGAAGGGTCAGAAATGACTTTATTTTTAGATSGCTGCAGAGAAGCCAGGGATGAAAATGTCACTGAGAAGAGAAGAGAGAGGACCCAGGGCCCATGGCCACACCTGAGTGTGCAGGTGGGGGCCCTGGGCAGCTGCATCCCGTCCGGGCCGGGCCTTCCTCAGTGGGGTGGACAGGACGTCGGGGCACAGAGGTCGCCGTCACCCCCATGGGCTGTGGGGAGCCGGGAGCCTGGGAAGCAGGTGTGAGCAGCGTCCGCCGTGGCCCCTGGGGTCTGTTGTGGCCAGACGGCGCTGCAGCCGGCTGTGGGTGCAGGGGAATGCGGGGGAGAGCCGGGGGGCGATCAGGTGGCAGGGTCGCACAGATGGGGCGGGGCGAGGGCCACCGGGGTGGTCAGCTCTGCTGGGTCACCAAATCATCCAGATCCGGGCAGCCCCTGTCTCCCAGGCCTCTGGACCACCTGCAGCAGGATGGCAGGTGTGGAGGAGGCGGGGGTAGGAGGGGTGTCCACGGGGACAGTCCAGGGCCTAAGGCAGTGCACTGTGAGTGTCAGTCCCCAGGAGCCTGGCGGGGCAACCTGGGGCCTCGAGTGTGTGAGGGGCAGGGGCCCAGTCTCCGTGGGACGAGAGAGCACGCCCCTGGGCACTCACTGCAAAGAGCCCTGTGCCCCTGGCAGACGGGAGCCGAGGAGCAGCAGCTGGTGGCCTGGGTACTGGAAGGTAGGAACGTCCTATCGGTGACAGACACAGAGCCCTGGGGGTGGGTCGGGTGCCACCCTAGTGGTGACAGGGGTTGACTCAGAACTCCCCACGGCCACTCCCTCTGGAGGGCACAGGGCGCCCACCCCGAGGACGAGGGTGCACGGGCAGCTCCACAGAGCTCAGTGACCACAGTCCCCTGGAGCGGAGGTGTTGTGAGGAGATGGTCAGAGGCTCCCAGGCCACCCTGTTCACTCTGCGGGGCGAGGTGTCCCCGGGGCCACCTCCCAGAGGGGAAGAGCCCTGTGCAGGGTGCCAGGCTGTGCCCGGGGGCAGCTCCTCCCGCAAGCCCAGCTAGGTGACCCGGAGGAGTGACTTGAGTGTGGTGGGGGACCCTGGCGTTTAATTCTGGGGCCTCCYGCCCTGGTGGGCACCTCGGTCAGCAGGGTGGGGACTGGAAGATGCCCGAGGAGAGGGCCACCGCGGGGGTGCTGGCTGGGCAGACTGCAGGTCGGGCCGCGCGGGAGGCTCCCTGGGCAGTGGGCGAGTGCGTCCAGTGTGCCCTGTGCCAGGGGTCTTGGGGTCTGTGGATGGTGCTGTGGCCGCGGCCCTTTGGACCCAAATGGCAGCCCCAGAGAGACCGGGGGCTCCCCAGTGGCTGCCTGCCCGCCTGCCTGTCCTTCCGAAACCCACGCTGCCCACCCTGGCTGGGCTGGCCTCTTACCATGTCCACGGCCACCTTCATGGCCTCCTGCAGCCCAAAGAGCTTCCCGGCCACCAGGTAGACCCCGCCGGTCCACACGGCGCAGGCCTCGTGCACCCAGTGCTCCTGGGTGTCCCCGCCGGGCTCCGCSGGACCCTCTCTGCTGCACTCGTGCTTGCGGCTCTTGTCGGCTGCGGCCGCCTCCTCGCCCCCGTCCCCCTGACCGTCACAGCAGTAGCAACTCTGCAGCCGCCGGGACAGGCCCCGGGCGCTGGTGCGCAGTGAGCCCTGCTTGGCCGGGTCCGCTGGGCCGTCAGGCCTGGGGGGCTTCCCGGCGGTGGTGGCGGCGGCAGCAGTGGCGGGAGCGGGGGCTGCACACTCGACTTTGAGTGTTCTCTCAAGGGGCGGCGAGGCCTCCTCACAGGTGCCTTCCGGCCGCACCTTCTCCTTGAGTTTTGGCTTCTTTTTGGGGAGGCAGTGTTCGGGGTAGTAGGGCCCACAGAGGTCCCCGAGGTCCTTGAAGTTGGCCGGGTTTTGGCAGAGGCAGCAGACAAGGCAAGAGGTACTCAGAGCCTTGGAGACCACAGGCCCCAGGTGCATGGTGGAGGAGAGGGGCAGCGAGGGCCGTGGCTGCAGGATGGAGCCCCCCGGGAGTGTGGTCAGGGAGGTCCCGGCCACGTCCAAGGAGAAGGAGGAGGAAGATGAAGAGGAGGAGGTGGAGGAGGAAGGCTTCCTGTGGGGCTTGGGCTCATCCCCGGGGGAGTTGACCACAGTGCATACGGTGGTGAAGGCGTCTCGCTTCTCCACCCGCACGAAGGGTGAGAAGGCTGGGGTCCTGCTGTCGGCCCTCAGCCTCTTGCAAGAGGAGATGTATTTGAGGCGGATTTCAGGCTCGGCGGGATCCAGGGGCAGCACCTGCTGCTGCCGTCTCCGCTTGGCACGCCCTTTACAGGGTGAAGCGTTGGTGTTCTTGGCCCGGCCCCGGGTGAGGCGCTTCCGCTTGGAATAGCTGCTGTAGTTGGCGTGGCCCGGCTGCTTCTGCGCCCTGGTCTGGGGCTGGCAGGGCCGGCCCTCGGGGGGCTGGGAGGCCAGGCCCAGCTCCTCGGTCTTTGGCTTCTTGCCTCCTCCACCAGAGTTGTCCTCGCCACCCGCCTGCGTGCCGCTGGCCCTGTCTCGGGGATTGAGGAGCAGAGCCTGGCCAAGATAGGGCCGCTTCTCCAGGGGGCCTTTGGAGAGCCCGAGGCCTCCGGCCCTGCCTTTCCGGCTCCTCTTCTTGGGTGCCAGCATGGTCCCCCCAGGCTGCAGGGCCTCCGGGGACAGGAAGGCCTCAGTTTTGAAACAGTCGGTGGAAGACAGTTTCTTACTGTTCATGAGTTTACCTTTTAAGGACCTGTTGGTCGGATTTCTACACAACGGCTCCCCTCCCGAAGCCCCTGGGAACTTCTGTCCCGGGCCCACGCCGACCAGACCTTCTTCTGCCCCGGCCGGGCTGCCCCCGGTGCTCTTGGGCCCCCCGCGGTCCTTCTCGGGGAGGGCCGGGCTCAGGGGAGTCCCGGGGGGCGCCCCGGGCACTCTGCAGGCGAACTTCTTGAGGCTGGGGGAGGTGATCTTCTGCACAATGGCCTCCAGCTTCAGGCCCCGGCCTTTCCTGGGGGGCAGCACCTTGGTCTTCACGGTCCCCGGGAAGGCCGCCCGTGAGGCGAGCTTCACGCAGGCCTCAGGGGCCTCGGGGGGCGGGGGCTTGGTGGTGGGCTCCCCGCTGCCCTTGGGCTTGGCCTTCTTGGGAGAAGACATTCTCTTAAAGAGCGAGGGGGAGCCCTCGGCCCTGTCCTCCTTCCCGTCCCCCGCGCTGGCACTGAGGCTGCTGCTGCTGCTGCTGCTGCTGCGGAGGACCAGGTTCCTCTTCTTGGTGGGGACAGGCGCCAGGAAGGACGATTTCCTCTTGAGCGCGTGGAGGGGCCGGTCAGAAAGCTTGCCCCCTGTGCCAGGCTTGGGGACCCGCGCTCGCTGGCTCACTCGGCCCTCCTTCTGGGGACTGCCCGCGGCAGCGGCRGCGGTGGYGGCGACCTTGAATGGGGCAGGCAGGTGGTTGTTGGCAAGGACCTTCTTGGTGGCCCGGCAGTTGGGGAGCCGGGTTTCTGAGGGTCGCCGCCGCTTGGCGTGGAAGACCTCCTGGGGTTTGGTGCGCGATCGCAGGATCATGGAGCGCTGGTCCTTGCCGGGCAGGCCGGGCGAGTCCGGCTCCTTGGTTTTGGAGCCCATGGGACTGCTGTCCGAGGCCACGGGCAGGGCGGCCGGATTGCTGGGGCTGGACGCAGCCTTGGGCGAGGGCTTCCCCACCCGCTTGCCCGACTTGAAGGCGGCTCGCTGCTTGCCCCCCAGCTTGTCGGGGGGCGCGGGGGTGGTGGTCAGCCCCGGGGGCCCGGGCGTGCGGGGCTCACTCAGGGCCGTGAGGGAGCGGGTGCACATTCTGGGGAGCCCTTCGGAGGGCCCCCTGCCTGGGGCCCCGGCCCCTTCCATCTGTCCCTGGGGGGGCCCGGTGCAGGACTCGGGGAGCAAGAGGTCTTTGGGTAACGCTGGTGCTCTGCAYGGGGAGTCCTCGGCCTCGGGCAGCCCCCGGTGGACCCGCCGGCTCCGCAGGCTTTTGCCCCGTGGCACGGGCTCTTTCTTGGCGATGGGGGCCTCGGGCACGGCGGGCTTGTTGGGCTTCTGGGCCAGGGAGGCRTCCGGGGTGGTGGAGTCCACCGGAGCCCGGTCCCCCTCGGGCCCTTCTTCGCCGGGCTTCATGTGGGACAGGGAGGACTCGAACCAGCTCTGGACCTTGGACTCGGCACCCACGGTGGGGCCCAGCAGGATGACAGACTCCCCGGAGAGGTGGCACGGGGAACCCCAGCCGGCCTTGGAGTCCAGCCCCTCCTCCGCCTCCTCCTTGGTGCAGAGGAGGGGGGCCTTGGGTGACAGCGGGTCCTGCAGGCCGGGCCTCTGCTCCGGGCTGCCCAGCAGCTCGCACAGGGAGGAGTACTCCTCGGCCTCCAGGTCCTCCTTCCTGCCGGGGGGCGGCAGCAGGGGCAGGTCCCCGAAGTCGGCTGCCGAGCAGCAGTGCCGGCTGTCCTCCAGCCACCGGTCGGCCTTGCCCACGTCGGGGCACTGCAGCAGGCCGCCGGCCTCCTCCTTCACCCCACCCGCCTCCTCCGGTTTGAAGTCCCCGGGCAGCGCGGCSGCCTTCTCCCCGGGGGGCCCCTCCTCCTGGAAGCCCAGGCAGGCCGAGGCCTCGTGGGCRTCCCCTTTGCCCACGCCACCGTCCGGGGCCTTCCCGCCCTGCTCCAAGCCCTTGGTGAGCTCGCCAGGGTGCAGTCCCCAGCGGGGACAGGCATCCCCCAGGTTCTCCTCTGGCCAGGCAAAGGGGTTGGCGCCGTCTGCTGAGCTGGACGTGGTCGTGGTGTCCGGGAAGCAGTCGAAAGCCGCGGCGGTGGGGTCCGGGGCGGTGGCGGCCCCCAGGGTGGGTTTGGCGCCAAAGGAGAGGGGACCGGCGGTTTTCTTGGGGTCAGGGGCAGCGAAGGCCACCGAAGGGTCTTCAAACAGCCCCGGGCTGAAGTCCTTGGTGTTGCTGCTCTTGTCCAGCTGCAAGGAATCAGGCAGGGCCTCGGGCTCCCCGGGCCGTGGCCAAGCGTTCTTGGCCACGGGGTCGAGGCAGGCGCTGTGGTTCTCCAGAGAGAAGGGTGGCTTGCTGGCGTCCTTGGCCAGCCCCGGGGTCTCCGGCCAGGCCTTCTCGGCCTTCTCACCGATAGCTTCTTGCAGCCCCAGGATCTCAGAGGCCAGGTCCTCCTGAGCCAGGGCACTGAGCAGCAGCCGTGGGCAGTCCCGCTCGCCGGCCACGAACTTGGAGAAGCTGTCCAGCGGCAGACTGCTGTGCAGGCTCTGGAAGGAGTCGTCAGATTTGGTGGACATGTCGTCAGGGGAGGTCACAGAACAGGTGGACACGGACTCRGGCTTGGCCTTGGAGTTGCTGTTGACCCTGGCCGGGCTGCCGCGGGCCTGGCTGCAGTAGAGGAAGCCGCGCTCCAGCGGGTCCTCGGAGCCGCTCAGGTAGTCTGTCTCCTGCGGCTCGGCGTGCGTGGACTGCGGCGTGCTGCTCAGGGGCTCCGACAGGGGCGTCCCCGCTGGCTCCGCGGAGTAGCCGCTGCCCTCGGGGCTGCAGTGCTGGCTCTTGTGCTGCTCCGGGGTCCTGGACACCAGGTTCTTGACGCCTTTCTTCTGCGGCACGGCGGCCTTGGACAGCAGAAGCTGCTGGACCGTGTTGGATATGTTCTCCACCTGGGAGGTCAGGGCCGTGAGGCTCTGCAGGCTGAGGTCTGACAGCAGGTTCTCGGGGATTTTGTCCTTCTGCAGGGGCTTGCAGTTGCTGGCCTGGGTGTCCACGGAGCTGGCGGCGTCTGTCGGGGAGGGATTGAGCAGGGGCATGAAGTGGCTGTGGTCGGTGATGCCCGCGGGGAAGGCCCCGGTGCTGAGTGGCTGCTGGTTGTAGGGGAAGTTCTCTAGGTTTGGCATGAGCGGGGACGGGGTGGAGCTGTAGGAAGGGGAGCGGCCCACCGAGCGGGCCGGGGAGTGGCTGGAGCTGGGGCTGAAGGTCTGGTAGTACTGCTCGGGGGTCCTGACGGCAGCCGTGTCCGGCTGGCAGTAGCCCTGGCCTTGCTGTCCGTAGTGTTGGTATTTGGCGAGGTTTTGGTAATGGAGGGTCTCCTGGGCGTGGTGCCGGCTCTGAAGCGCCGGCTGCTGTGGCTGGTCATAGCCGAGGCGGCCCGACGGGTAGGCGTGAAGGTTCTGGACCCGCTGTCCCGGGGCCAGGCTGGCGTTGGCGGTCAGTGGCCTGTCGTGGGGCTGGGCCGACGGTGCTGTGCAACTCTTATAGGAGTGGGCCCCCTGTCCGCTGCCCTGGACGGACGAGGAGTAGGTGGACGAGGTGGGGAAGGACTGGGAGTGCTGGGGGAAGTGAGCCCCCTGGGGGAAGGGCAGGGGCGAGGCGAGGTCGTTCTGCAGTTTCTGCCTTTGGAGTTTGGGGTACGCCAGGGGCTGCTGGGGCTGGGGCAGCTGTGGCGGCGGGGGCTGCTGGACAGGCAGGGAGTGAGTCCGGAAGGGAAGCTGGGCACCCTGCTCTGGGTACTGCCTGCCGGGGGGCACGGCCGTCTTTTTGAGTAGGTTCTCCTCGTACTTGCCCACCCCTCCTGGCAGGGGCTGTGGCTGGGGGGGTGGCGGCTGGGGGGCCCCCCAGGCCTGCAGGCCCTCCTCCCCAGAGTAGCGTCCCGGGTAGGGGTTGCTGTCCTGGAGGCCACCATAGCCGGGGAAAGCCGGCCTCCCCTGCAGCGCCTGCTGGGAGGGCAGGGCCTTGCTACCTCGGTGGTACTTCTCGGCGGCCACCGCGGCCGCGGTGCTGGAGGGGGTGCTGGCGCCACCCTCGTAGCCCGGGTAAGGCTGCGGGTTATAATAGTCCTTGGCGAGCAGCCGCTGCCTGTCACAACTCAGCCCGGCCTGACTCGGCTGCCTGTAATTCTCCAGGCGAGACGCTTCCTGCGAGGTCTGTGGGTAGCTCTGCTGTTTGCCATGGAAACCACACCTTTCTCGAAAAGACTGCATGACGCGGGCTGGCGATCTGTGGAAGAGAAAAGGGAGACAGGGAGGGGAGGGGTGGGGGGCAAGAGGGAGAGCGATTCAGATGGGCCACCACGTCCTGGTCCCTGGTCCCCCTCAGCCACCTCCCCCCACCCCCCCTCGCCCTGCAGCCCTGCCTGGCCGGGAGTCTCCCCACCAGCTGTGCACAGATTGACAACCTCTGCACCCAGGAGGTGCACTCCATAATCCCCACTTCCACAGGGCCACCACGGGCGCAGGGCGCTGGAGGTGCAAAACGGGGGCTGCCCAAGCCAAGTCACCCGGCTGGCTGGCTCCTCCCCTYGGCCCCCACCCACCACCACTCCCAGCTCTTCCAAGACAGCTCAAAATCATTTAGCAGAGTAATTCCGGCTCCTCACGTCCCCTGGGGCCCTCTGGATCCTGTAATCTTAGTCCCTAGGTGGCTGTACTCAAGCGTGACCCAGCCATGCTGCGGACCCATGAGGATCTGTCCTACCCCGCCAGGGAGAGGCCGCTTGCCAAAGGCGTGCGCACACACACACACACACTCTCACACACACACACACCTCCCCTATCACTGCCATGCCATCTGGAATCTGTCTGTTCCCTCTAGCAGACGTCAACTGGGGGGGGGGGGCTGCCGAGCCACTGTAGATGTCAAACGTCCCCTCCTCTGACTCCTAGGGACGTAGGACGCCGCACCTGCCTCTTGTTTGGGATATTATAGGTGCATAAACAGATTACGTGATCCAGGGTGAGGGAGCRCATGCTGATGAGGGACAGGGAGGCTGAGCTGCGCCCCTGGGCACAGGGGTGATGGGACCTGGTCCTTCAATGGCAGGGCCCCCTCCCGGCCTCCCCAGGTCAGGTGGCACGGGGGAGCAGCCCATCTGGTTATGATTTTAGGGGCTGGGGCCCAGGCAGGGGTCTAACCTACCCTAGAGCAGGATCCTGGGTTAGAAAATGATCCTCAAAGAACCTTTGAGGGCAGAGCAGCAGGATTCACAACATGGGCTGGACGTGGGCGTCTAGGGCTAAAGGTTCCCTGCAGTGGACGGGCAGGTCTGGTGGCCCCAGAAGGCCTTCAGAGCGGGGGGGGGGGGGGG